GGCAAGGTTCTGTGGCTCGAAACCAGAATCCATACCATGTGGATTGAAATGCAGCCCTGCTGCTTACTGACTTCTGACCTGGGGAGATTAAATCCTTCCCTGGGCCTCAGTTATGGCACCTCTGAAATGGAGACTCTGATGGTCACCTGCAAGGACGCTCTTGGTGTCCATTGAGCCCTGTGTGGGAGGGCCTGGCCCAGGTCCTGCTGGGCACAGGTTGCCTCTTGTTCCCATCAGGGACGACAGATTCTTATGTGGGGAGTGGTTAGCTACATGTGTCCCCACATGGAAGGGCTGCCTTCGATACAGTGACTTATCATCAAAAGAGGTGCAGGTGTGGACGGCCACCAAGGAGCATGGAGCAAGGCAGGAGGGATTTCGCCTGGCCATACTTCCCACACCAAAGAGGGGCACTGGACACCAAGCCTTTGACCCATGAGCTTTTGAGAGACATTTAATATCCCATCCATCACACACACACACACACACACACACACTCACACTCACACACTCACACACACTCACACAGCTAGGCAAGGCAGAATTCACAAGTTAGTCACAGTTGGAGAATATCCATAATAGCTAACTAATAAAATAGAACAACTATAACGCCATGCTGTAACAGAAGTCAAGTCAACACGGTCTTCCTCTCAAAATATTTATCCTATGCTCCGCTCCCTACTTCTGATGGTGTGAATGCTGGGGTGCCTACACCATGAGAGACAGTGATCGAGGGACGTGGCATGGGCGTTGTGATGTCACCTGATCTCCAGCAGGGAGGGGACAAGGTATGGGGCTCAGGTACCTTTCTCCAGGTGTGAGTCACTGGCCCAGAAGAGCAAATGCAAACCTGGAGCAGCACCGTCAGCTCATCAGCCGTGACTTATGGAGAGCTGATGAGGCCCCACTCAGGCAGCTGTGGTCATTGCGAAATGCGTTTTTCCGGTGTCTCCGACATCAGGTTTAAGTGCTCACCCCTTAACCCCCATCCTGTACGGGAAGTTCTGCAGGCGGAGACAGGTGAGGTGTTGCTAGAAGTAGGCCAGGCTCTGTCAACAGGAGGAGGACGTTCTCTCAAGTAAATGAAGGCCACTGTTACTAATGCATGAGGCGGTGGCAGCTAGGCATCCCCAAGTGCTGGGTTTTCTAGAAGGACGTGGCCTTTCCCCTGCGGGGGCTGTTTGCACATTCCAAGTTTCCGTGTAGTTCAGTCCCAAATGCAGGTGCGTAGTCCCTCAAAGTCAGACTCCTAGATTCTCTTTTCTTTTTCTTCCTCTTTTAAGTTAAAATTTTGAGATAATCTTAGATTTGCCTTTAGGCGTAGGAGTAACAGAGATCCCTGGACCCCCCAGATCTCCCCAGTGGTCATAGCTTGTAAACAACTGTCGAGCAACGTCACTCTCTGGTCCTCCTTAGAAGGCTCAGAGGCCCTGAGACCCTCACCCAGAGAGCGAGACCCTCTGGGGAGTGGAGAGCCACTTTCCCCCAACAGAAAGGCCTGCAAATGAGAAGCCGGGGTTCAGGGTGCACCCGGGCTTGGTCCTGGCCCTGTGGCTCGGGGTAGCTATGTCCCCAGGCTCTGGAGTCACCCGGCCTGGGCTGGACTCCCAGCTCCTGTCTGACTCGATGGACGGCCCTCACCTCTCAGAGTCGCAGTGTTTTATAGAAACTTAGATAGCATTGTGGGTCGTCCTCCTTCCCTGTCACAAAGGCCTGAGGTAGCTGGCTTATAAGGAAAAGAGTGTCACTGCAGCTCAGTTTTGGAGATCTCCGTCTGTGATTGACTGGCCCTGTTTTCTGGGCCTGTGCTGGGGCAGCTCATCCTGGTGACTGCATGTGGCAGAGCAAAGCAGCTCACCTCATAGCCAGGGACCACAGGAGAGGGAAAGGGGTGGGTCCCACTGTGCTCCCCAAGGGCACAGTGATTCAAGGACCTCCCATTAGGGCCACTTCTTGAGGGTCCCAGCACCTCCCAGGAGTGCCACAGACAGACCAAGCTTTCAGCCACTGGCCTCCAGACCCAGCTAGAGCAAGCTCTTAGTTTCAGTCACTCTTCTCCCTGTCCCCTTCCCCTCTGCTTCCCCCTCGTGTCCTTTCCTTTCTTCCCCCCCCCCCCCCCCCTCCCCCCCCTCCCCCCTCCCCTCCCCCTCCCCCTCATCTCCCCCTTCCTCTCCCTCCCCCTCATCTCCCCTTCCTCTCCCTCCCCCTTTCTTCCTCCTCCCCCTCCTCCCCTCCTCCCTCCTTCCTTCCTCCTCCCCCTCCTCCCCTTCCTCTCCCTCCTCCCCCTTTCC